CTCTCTCTCTCTCTCTCTCTCTCTCTCTCTCTCTCTCTCACAGGCTGGTGAGAAAATACCATCAGCCGCTTTCCTTTATTCATAATGCAAATACCTCAAAGTACTACATTACCCATGAGCCCCAGGGCCTGTTTCCAGTTTCGTCCTCCTCTAAATCAGAATATTTCACTGACCCTTCAGAGGTGATCACATGACATCAGAGTGGGTGTTAATTCTCGTACGTCTGGGAAGAAGACGTCAGAGATGCTAATGAGGGATGGAGATGCATGTTTCTGTGGCAACCACATTCAGGAGGTGCTGGAGCTGCATCCCTGTTGCCATGGCAACCCATAGTGGCAGCTGAGGTGCTGATTTGATTTAAGAAGCAGAAGAAGAGCAGCAACAGGTTAGATTTCTTCTTCTGTGTGTTCAGAGCACTGAGGGTGTCCCACTTTCCACCACCGTCACCGCTGAACATCCCCGAACCTCCCAGAACATCCCAGAACATCGCAGAACATCCCTGAACATCGCAGAACATCCCAGAACATCTTAGAACCTCACAGAACATGCCAGAGTTCCTCCATATTTTCCTCAAGGTGTCCCTCCTAGTGTTCCTCTATGTTTTGTTTCCATGTTTTTTTCTAGGTGTTCCTCCAGGTGTTCCTTCAGGTGTTCCTTCAGTTGTTCCTCCATGTTTTTTCCAGGTGTTCCTTCAGGTGTTCCTTCAGGTGTTCCTCCATGTTTTTTCCAGGTGTTCCTTCAGGTGTTCCTTCAGGTGTTCCTCTTGGTTTTCCTCCAGGTGTTCTTCTAGATGTTCCTCCATGTTTTTTTCCAGGTGTTCCTTCAGGTGTTCCTCCTGGTTTTCCTCCAGGTGTTCTTCTAGATGTTCCTCCATGTTTTTTTCAAGGTGTTCTTTTAGATGTTCCTCCATGTTTTTTTCAAGGTGTTCCTCCAGGTGTTCCTTCAGGTGCTCCTCCTGGTTTTCCTCCAGGTGTTCCTCCAATTTTTTTTCCAGGTGTTCCTCCAGGTGTTCCTCCAGCTGAGGTGTTTTTTCCTCCAGGTGTTTTTTCAGGTGTTTCTCCAGGTGTTCCTCCAGGTGTTCCTTCAGGTGTTCCTCCTGGTTTTCCTCCAGGTGTTCCTTCAGGTGTTCCTCCATGTTTTTTTCCAGGTGTTCTTCTAGATGCTCCTCCATGGTTTTTTCAAGGTGTTCTTCTAGATGTTCCTCCATGTTTTCCTCCAGGTGTTCTTCTAGATGTTTCTCCATGTTTTTTTCAAGGTGTTCTTCTAGATGTTCCTCCATGTTTTTTTCCCTAGTGTTCTTCTAGATGTCCCTCCATGTTTTTTCAAGGTGTTCTTCTAGATGTTCCTCCAGGTTTTCCTTCAGGTGTTCCAACTGGTTTTCCTCCAGGTGTTTTTCTAGATGTTCCTCCATGTTTTTTTCAAGGTGTTCTTCTAGATGTTCCTCCATGTTTTCCTCCAGGTGTTCTTCTAGATGTTCCTCCATGTTTTCCTCCAGGTGTTCTTCTAGATGTTTCTCCATGTTTTTTTCAAGGTGTTCTTCTAGATGTTCCTCCATGTTTTTTTTCTAGTGTTCTTCTAGATGTCCCTCCATGTTTTTTTTCTAGTGTTCTTCTAGATGTCCCTCCATGTTTTTTTTCTAGTGTTCTTCTAGATGTCCCTCCATGTTTTTTTTCTAGTGTTCTTCTAGATGTCCCTCCATGTTTTTTTCAAGGTGTTCTTCTAGATGTTCCTCCATGTTTTTTTTCTAGTGTTCTTCTAGATGTCCCTCCATGTTTTTTTTCTAGTGTTCTTCTAGATGTCCCTCCATGTTTTTTTCAAGGTGTTCTTCTAGATGTTCCTCCATGTTTTTTTTCTAGTGTTCTTCTAGATGTTCCTCCATGTTTTTTTCAAGGTGTTCCTCCAGGTTTTCCTTCAGGTGTTCCTCCTGGTTTTCCTCCAGGTTTTCCTCGGCGTGTTCCTCCATGTTTTTTTCCAGGTGTTCCTCCAGGTGTTACTCTTGGTTTTCCTCCAGGTGTTCCTCCAGGTGTTCCTTCAGGTGTTCCTCCATGTTTTTTTCAAGGTGTTCCTCCAGGTTTTCCTTCAGGTGTTCCTCCTGGTTTTCCTCCAGGTTTTCCTCGGCGTGTTCCTCCATGTTTTTTTCCAGGTGTTCCTCCAGGTGTTACTCTTGGTTTTCCTCCAGGTGTTCCTCCAGGTGTTCCTTCAGGTGTTCCTCCATGTTTTTTTCCAGGTATTCGTCCATGTTTTTTTCCAGGTGTTTCTTCAGGTGTTCCTCCTGGTTTTCATCCAGGTGTTCCTCCATGTTTTTTTCCAGGTGTTCCTCCAGGTGTTCCTCCAGGTGTTTCTTCAGGTGTTCCTCCTGGTTTTCCTCCAGGTGTTCCTCCATGTTTTTTTCCCCAGGTGTTCCTCCAGGTGTTCCTTCAGGTGTTCCTCCAGGTGTTTTTTCAGGTGTTCCTCCAGGTGTTTTTCCAGGTGTTCCTCCAGGTGTTTTTCCAGGTGTTCCTCCAGGTGTTCCTCCTGGTTTTCCTCCAGGTGTTTCCACCAGGAGAACCATAAAGTGTTCATCAATAAAGATGAACATTTTATGATGAATAAGATGGAGGGGAGTGGTGGCCCAGTGATTAGGGCATAGGCCTTGGAATCCAGAGGTTTTGAGTTCGAGTCCTACTGCCACTCTGGGTCCCTGTGCAAAGACCCTTAAAACTGGTCCCAGGGCGCCGCACAATGGCAGCCCACTGCTCCCCAAGGGGAGGGGTTAAATGGAGAGAGGGAATGTTGTTGCACTGTACTGGTGACAGTGGAATGACAATAAAAGATCTGCACAAATATGAAGAAAAAAATATTAAATGGGAAATAAATAAATTTATGAATGAATGAAATTTAGAGATTGGCTAAAATAATTAACCTAAAATACAAAATCAAAACTAACCGAATCATTTCTATGAATGAATTGATGTGATTTACTGAAACTGTGTGGGAGGAGCAGGAGGAACAGGAGGAGCAGGAGGAGGTTCTGGAGGCTCCTCTGGACCAGACTGGACCTCATGGTTCTGAGCAGATTGTTCCTCCAGAACCAGGGATTAGGCTGCGCTGCGCGCTCTGGTGCTTTACTATGACGGGAGCGCGCTGCTCTCCTCACTTGGGAGCGCGCCTCATCTCGGGAGCGCGCATGAAAGATCCAAGGACAGAGCGGCGGGCGCGTGAGCATCGGGTCACCTGAAAGTCCTCCGCCATCAAGAACCCGACCAGAACCAGGAGAACCTGATCCAGTTTGACCTCTGGGGGTGGGGGGTGGGGGGAATGATCTGAACCAACAGAACCAGGCGGAACCGGATCAGAGCCTCACTCTGGAAAAAAAAAAAAAATCAAAACAAGGCATCTCGGAACCGACCTGGACCGGAACCTCCCCGCGTCATTCTGACAGAAACGAGGCGCCGAACCGGAGCGTGACCCGCCTGATCCAGACTGGGAGGGGTACCGAGCAGACGGTGGATCAACAGGACGGAACCAGAAGCAGGGTCTACAGCCGGACCAGTAGGTGTCTCCGGTTCGGTTCGGGTGTTTTTGGTTGTGGTTCTGTTTCTGGAACCCGCTGACAGCGGGGCCCCTGCGGGCTCCCTGCGGGGCCCCTGCGGGCTTCATCCTTTTGTTTTGGTGTTTATTCCGCTTCGGTTCGGATGTTTTAATTGATTTTTGTTTTATTCTTTTGTTTGATAAACAGAATAAAACATTTTTTTGTAAAAATGAATTAAATAAATATGAGGAAGTTGAAGGAGAACCTAGAAAATGACCCTCCAAATGTTCCCACCAGGATTTTCCTTTTATCTCTAATTTGGCCCAAAGTGAAAAACGTCAAACATCCCAGAATAATTCGGACCCAAATAATCAGAACTTTATTGATGGTGATTCCGGCTCCTCATCCAGAATCCCAACACAGAAAAATCCTGTTTATTTGGGGCCAATAGAAAAAAAAACTGTGGTGTTAAAGCAGCAGAGGTTACAGTAGAAGTGTATAAAAATAACAGAGAAAGTGGTAGAGTAGAAAAATAAACAAATAAAATCCTGTAAAGTGTTTTAACAATAAAAAACTGGAGAATAAATAACCAATATGCAGCTATGGACATTTTTACAGTAATTTGAAAATAGCAGCAACATCAGAGTGTCATGATTGGCTCTCTAAGGTGACCCAATAATGCAGAACACCACTAGACGGAAACAGGTTGAAAGGTTTAACAGAGTTTATTCAAATCAAGCACAATGAAACGAGTTCTGGTTCTGGTCCTGGGAGACTGGTACACCGGAGTCTGTGAGGAGGACAGGTTAGTTAGCGGAGCACTTAGAAACTTGTCTTTAGGATTGTTTCCGGCTTGTACCTTGAGGGTCCTTGAATGAGGCTAGGAGAGGAAGGTTGTGGGAACTGGAGAAGGTTTGGTAGCAGAGTCCGCAAGCTGTTTCAGCGTCTTGCTTCTCAGGAGGGAGCAGACCTTGGGTTAGTGTTTCCAGCTGTTGGTCCAGAGCTGCATAGAAAACCAGAGGGAGTCTTCAGGTTTGGCTCAGAGGGCAGGCTCGGCAGGTTAAGCTCTTCCAGAGCTTCGCGGGAAAAAACTGGTTTCCTGGAAAGACAGAGATAACGTTAGAATCCAGCTTGGATTCAAAAGTCAACAAAGGTTCTCAGAGGTTCTAGGCTTAGGTGCTAACCAACTGGATCAACACTGCGGCGTTGAGGCAAGGTCTGAAGACAGCTTAAGTAGTGGATCCTCTGATGATGGTAACGAGCAGCAGCTGTGCAGGAGACTCTGCTCAGGAGGATCCACGGCGGACTCTGCTGGAGAAGGGTGGAACTTCTCCAGCCTCCAACACAGAGATGTGCAGAATGACAGCAGCAGGTTATTTAACTGACTGAGGTAGAAACTGAGCAGAATCAGCATGAATGGAAGAACTGGTTGAGGTTACTGGGAACAGTGGTGGTTCTAGAGTCTTCCAGCTGCTGGGAGGAAGGATCTGTGATAACGCTCCCTGGTGCATTTAAGGTGCAGCAGTCTGTCACTGAAGGAGCTGTCCAGTTCAGCACCAGCTTCATGCATGGGGGGGGGGGGGGGGGGGGCATTATCCAACAGAGATGTTAATTTAGTGAGGATCCGTCTGTTTCCCACCTCCTGCACCGAGTCCAGAGGGCATCCAATCACAGCTGGCCTTCCTGATCAGCTGATCCAGACGCTTCCTCTCAGCTACAGATGAGCCGCTGCTCCAACAGGCAGCATAGAAGATGGCTGATGCCACAGCAGAGTCAGAGAAGGTCTTTAGGAGCGCCCCCCTCCGTCCAAAAGAGGAAGAGATGCAGCAGAACTGAACCAGAACACGACTTTTAAAGCTGCTCAGGTTTCAGATCCATTATGGTTCCTTCTTGCATTAAAAAAATACACCAGAACCAAAACCGAACCCAGACTGGAGGAACCGGAGCAGCAGGAGGCCCAGCTCTGCAGGTTCCACCTCAGAGGGTTCTGGTTCCAACAGAACCCTGGCCCTACAGGTGACTCTCCTCCTGGTCCCTGACTATCAGGTGGACTCGCTGATGGACTGAGGTCATGGGGAGCAGAGGTCTCCAGAATGGAGCTGCTTGGTCACATGATCAGCTGCAGGATGGGCGACGCCCCTCAGGTGTGAATCCATGAGGATGAGGCAGACATAAAGGAATCCAGCTTTGGAAGAATGAGGAACATTAGAAGCTCAGAGTTTATAGAAAAGTTAAATGTTTATTCCACATTTTAAAGTCTTTTTTAATAGTTTGAAATGATTGAATAAAGTGAGTGTTAATGTTCATGTGAAATGTAAAACGTTTTGGGCCTAACTCTGCTCTGATTGGCTCATTCTTCCACCATGCAGCAGTAACTTTCTGTAACCATAACAGTCCCGTGTGCAGCGATGTTTTAACCATGTCCTTCAATGTGTCTAAAACTGGCAGCTTGTCTTTAAAATATCCGCTCTCTGATTGGTTCCTTCCTGTTTCCACCGACCGTTATTCACTCATTTAAAATCTGGCTCTCCTTTTCAGACTGATGGGCTGCGTTTAAGCCTAGAGCTGAATTATTATATCTTCAATAACTGATTTGTCCCTAAGGGGGAGGGTAAATGCAGAGAGTTGATTTCTCCAATGTGAGATCAGTAAAGTTCCAAAAGAGTTCAAATCAATCCACTGGTTTTTGCCAAGTTTGAAGACGTTTCTCTTCCATCCAGGAAGATTTTTCAATCCAAAATGTCAGAAATAGCGTTTAGTTCCAGGTTTTATCCAGCAGCCCAACAAAGCCTGGTTTTAGTTTAGAAAACATGCAAATAGAAACGGATGAACGGGTCCCCCCCTTTGGGAATAGGGAATAGTAGGCTTTTGAAAGCTGGAATCTGACCCCCCCCCCCCCCCCCCCCCCCCGTTTAAGGTTGGTTTTCTTTCTTAACAAAGATGGCTTCCTTCATGTGCCTCTCTAATGACTCCTCTTCCTCATCCTCTTCCTCAGTGGAGCTGCGCGGCGTGCTGCTGCTGGCTGTGCTGCACTGCTGCTCAGTGGCGCTGTGCGGCTGCGAGCCCCGCCTGGTCAACGTGGGTGCTGTCCTGAGTCAGAAACGCTATGAGCAGGTGTTCAAGGAGGCGGTGAGTCAGGCCAACGCTCTGTACGGGAAGGACAAGTTCAAGATGAACGCCATCTCTGTGACGCACAAGCCCAACGCCATCCAGATGGCGCTGTCCGTCTGCGAGGACCTCATCTCCAACCAGGTGAGGTCACATGACCAGACTCTCTCATCCCATACATCGATTGGTAACCATAGTTACCAATGATGAAGCAGGTCCCTATGTCCTCCAGCAGTCTAAGCCTTTAGCAGCAGAACTACAGAGATAGCTCAGCTTCTGGAGCAGCTGCAGACTCTTAATGTTTCTCTACCATTTCCTTTTGCTTTCCTTTGATGTTTGGTTCATGGATGTAGTTTGCATCCTGTATGTTATTGCTGTGACGGCGGGTTTCTGTCTGGGAGTTAAAGGGTTGGTTGGTGCGTCATTTCAGCCCATTTCAGGCCTCCAGGCTGTGTCCTTCCTTTCCAGGCAGTTTAAATGGTTGTGTGACAGTTTAGTTGCTTCAGGGACGAAGAGATGTTTGCTGAGAAATAAATGTTTGATGAATATGATTAGGATAACATGAGGAACAGAGGCAGAAGTGACAGAATGAGTTCACATGAACCAACTCCTTTTTATTTCACCTGCCCGGGAAGCTGAGCGCGTCCGTCAGCGGCGTTGCTGAGAGGAGCTGATGCTGCAAGGATACAATCGAAGGTGACACATGAAAAAAGCTCTACGTGAACAAAGACGCGGAGCAGCTCCATGCTTCCAATCAGAGCTGCGCTAAATATAACCACAAAGAGACAAATAAAGGTGCAAAAACAGCCTGAAGGCAGCTGAGCTGGAAACATTCAATCCCTGAAACGGAAACAGCCCGCAGAGTTCTGGCTCAGCTCTTCATCCACACCCAAAGAGAAGAAGAGGAGGCTCCAGGAAACGCTGCTGAGGTCCGAGAGCAGGAGCAACCCCACCGGGGGACAGATGACGCCTTTCCTCTGAGGATGGAATGAGGCCAACATGGCGGCAGCAGTAGGTTGGACAGAGAGGGACGTCAGATTAACGTCCTCTCAATCTGTAATCCCTCCATCCTCCCAGAGGAGGGATGGAGGGATTATCCAGACACAGTCAGTTCAACTCACAGCTTTTAATACAATATTTTTAGTTTGTTCCTATCATGCTACAGGTCTGAGCCCCACTTCCTGAGCCTGAAAACTTCCGCCTCACTTTCTCATCAGATCAGCTGGAAGCCAAAGAGGGTTAGAGGGAAGAACTGAGGGCCAGAGGCAGGCAGGGAGCAGCAGGGCCTCCTTAAAAACCACAGAGCTGTAGAAAACACTTCTATCTGTTCTAGATCACAAAGGATAGAGTGTCCAGCTTCTATCCTGTTTCTCTATCATCTCCCCCATCACAGCTGGTAAACTCTGCGTTCCTCACTATCTGCTCCACTGCTGCTCCTCAGTCCAGCCTAAAGTATGTTATAATCTCCTTGTTACCAAAGCTGGGCATACACTGTATGATTTTTTTAATCGTTACTCGCAGCTACAGCTCAGACTGTACGATGAAACTGCAGGGTTTAAAAGTTCACCGCTCGCCATGTTTGTTCTCTCACTGCGACCCGACGCTCTGATGCGATCTACCTGCTCACACTGTAAGTCTAAAACCAGGTGGGACTCAGCGCCGCAGTGAGATGGCGCTACTCGGACTCGTCTATCTGGAAGCCAAACCAGTAGCAGAGGAACATGAAGCTGACTAGAGTGAAACGCGCTGCCTTGGATATTTGGGTGATTTAGTGCTGAAAGCCCTAAAAAGAAAAGGAGACGACGTATTTGGACAAAGACATGGCTGAGCTAACGAGGCTACTACGGTCTGACAGTTTGACAGAAAGAACTCCATTTCACTCATTGCCCCCCCGCCATGCTGCTGGGTTTACCTCTGAGAGGAAGAAGAATCCTCTTTTGCCCACTGAGAGATTTGCCCAAGACCTCCTTACGACGGCCGACTGAATTTCAAACGTTTGATTTTCTCCCGACCTTCTGATTCCTGATGGGGGGGTGGTCGTTAGAGGCTGATCGCCCCTCGTTACCCCCTGGTTACTACACCACACCATCAGGACTGGAAAATCAACCAGAAAAAGGCAAAAAATCGTAGAGTGTACGCCCGGCTTAAATGAAAACCTCAGTCTGGTCTGAAATTAGCCAAACCGCTCTGGTTGAATCTGGACCACATGTTCAGACACGGTTCCTCATCAGCAGCAGTTTCCTCCAGCAGTAACAAAACGCAGCGGTTAGGGTCACTGGTCAGTGTGTCTCTGATGGTCTGGAACCTTCATAACCTGACGGCATCCATTCGCTAATGCTAATGTTTTTTTAGCCGTTAGCATTTTGAGTCCAGTGGTGCCGCCTGATGATAATGTTCGGTTCTGTAGTTTAATCAGTGGGATATTCTTCCTCAGGTTTTTGACCAACTTCTTCAGTGGAAGTTGTTCAGTGAGAAGCTCTGTTAGCCTCTTAGCATGCGCCATGCCACCCAGTGCACCTGATCCTCAGGAATACCAGATCAATTTCTCAGCAGAGATGTCAGTAAAGCTGGACCTCATTTTCTTCTTCTGCAGGTTTATGCCATCCTGGTAAGCCATCCTCCACAGCCCAATGATCACTTGACCCCCACTCCGGTGTCCTACACGGCCGGGTTCTACCGTATCCCAGTGGTCGGCCTGACGACGCGCATGTCCATCTACTCTGACAAGGTCAGCTTCAGTTTGTCTCCAGTCTGTGTCATGGTGTTCCTCAGGGCTCTGTTCTTGATCCTCTACAGGAACAAACAACTTCTGAAATCTAATATTAAAGATATTTATTGAAGTATAAAATAATATCCTAATATCTCAGCTTTTAAAAACTGGAGCTTTAATGGGCGGTTTTAAGGGAGTCCCACAGGGCAGCACTTTGGGACAACTGCTTTTCCTGGTCTACATTAGCTTCCAAGTTTAGAAGATTTGTCATTTGGCCTCCTTGGTTATGCTGATGATGGTGTTCTCAAACACGGACTCAGTTAACAGCCTCCTGAAAGCAGATCTTCAGCTCCTCTGTAAGGGTTTGCAAGACAATCTGGTCTCTCTGGGAGAAAACTTGAATCCAGGCAGGATTGATGTCATTGTTAAAGGTGTCTTCAGCCCAGAAATTCCCAGCCCTCCCAGTCAGACACTAGCTGCCTTAGAGGATTTTGGAAATGCTCCCCCCATAGGGTTTCAAGTGGAGTCACAGCATTTGATCTGGTTCAGGAGACCAAAATGAGACACATTAAGATAAATGATGTCAATTTGACTTCCTCCTCCTCACCCCCAGAGCATCCACCTGTCTTTCCTGAGGACAGTGCCCCCATACTCCCACCAGGCACAGGTCTGGTTCGACCTGATGAGAGAGTTCAGATGGAACCACATCATCCTGATCGTCAGCGACGACCATGAGGGCCGAGCCGCCCAGAAGAAGCTTGAGACGCTGTTGGAGGAGCGTGAGACCAAGGTGAGCTCACGCAAAGAAAAAGAACAACTCTGCACACATTCGCTGTCATCATCACACATGAAGGCACATGTACAGAATCCAGATATACACATATGAACAGAGTTGGTGAGAAGGTGTGAGATAGGATCAGTGCACAAGCGGCTGACTCAGTGGTTCTGGTGACCCCATTTATTTAGGCGTCCGATGTAAGTCAGTGCGAGCTCAAAACGCGTTGAGCGTGTGGTGAGGGTGAGGCCAGGGCAATGTTTGGGCAAAGTCGTGGCGAGGTCAGGGAAAGTTAGTTCTTTTGAAGTCGGAGTAAGGTCAGGGCGTGGTAAGCGGAGGTAAGTCCAAGGTCGTGCAAGGTTTTGGTAAGTGCGAACTCAGAGTGAGGTCAGGGTGTGGTAAGGTGGAACTAAGAGTGAGGTAAGGGTGAGGTAGGTGCGAGGTAAGTGTGAGGTCAGGGTGTGGTAAGGGGGAACTCAGAGTGAGATAAGGGGCGAGGTCAGGGTGAGGTAAGGGCGAACTCAAAGTGAGGTAAGGGTGAGGTAGGTGCGAGGTAAGTGTGAGGTCAGGGTGTGGTAAGGGTGAACTCAGAGTGAGGTAAGCGCAAGGTCAGAGAAAGGTAAGGGCAAACTCCGAGTGCAGTCAGCGTGTGGTAAGGGTGAGGTAGGTGCAAGGTCAGGGCGTGGTAAGGGCAAACTCAGAGTGACGTACGGGGCGAGGTCAGGTTGAGGTAAGGGCGAACTCAGAGTGAGGTAAGCGCAAGGTCAGAGAAAGGTAAGGGCGAACTCCGAGTGCAGTCAGCGTGTGGTAAGGGTGAGGTAGGTGCCAAGTCAGGGCGTGGTAAGGGCAAACTCAGAGTGACGTAAGGGGCGAGGTCAGGGTGAGGTAAGGGCGAACTCAGAGTGAGGTAAGGGTGAGGTAGGTGCGAGGTAAGTGTGAGGTCAGGGTGTGGTAAGGGTGAACTCAGAGTGAGGTAAGCGCAAGGTCAGAGAAAGGTAAGGGCAAACTCAGAGTGCAGTCAGCGTGTGGTAAAGGTGAGGTAGGTGCGAGGTAAGTGTGAGGTCAGGTTGAGGTAAGGGCGAACTCAGAGTGAGGTAAGCGCAAGGTCAGAGAAAGGTAAGGGCGAGGTCAGGGCATGGTAAGGGCGAACTCAGAGTGCAGTCAGGGCGTGGTAAGGGCAAACTCAGAGTGACGTAAGGGGCGAGGTCAGGTTGAGGTAAGGGCGAACTCCGAGTGCAGTCAGCGTGTGGTAAGGGTGAGGTAGGTGCGAGGTCAGGGCGTGGTAAGGGCAAACTCAGAGTGACGTACGGGGCGAGGTCAGGTTGAGGTAAGGGCGAACTCTGAGTGCAGTCAGCGTGTGGTAAGGGTGAGGTAGGTGCGAGGTCAGGGCGTGGTAAGGGCAAACTCAGAGTGACGTAAGGGGCGAGGTCAGGTTGAGGTAAGGGCGAACTCAGAGTGAGGTAAGCACAAGGTCAGAGAAAGGTAAGGGCGAACTCCGAGTGCAGTCAGCGTGTGGTAAGGGTGAGGTAGGTGCGAGGTCAGGGCGTGGTAAGGGCAAACTCAGAGTGACGTAAGGGGCGAGGTCAGGGTGAGGTAAGGGCGAACTCAGGGTGAGGTAAGGGTGAGGTAGGTGCGAGGTAAGTGTGAGGTCAGGGTGTGGTAAGGGTGAACTCAGAGTGAGGTAAGCGCAAGGTCAGAGAAAGGTAAGGGCAAACTCCGAGTGCAGTCAGCGTGTGGTAAGGGTGAGGTAGGTGCGAGGTCAGGGCGTGGTAAGGGCAAACTCAGAGTGCAGTCAGCGCGTGGTAAGGGTGAGGTAGGTGCGAGGTCAGGGCGTGGTAAGGGCAAACTCAGAGTGACGTACGGGGCGAGGTCAGGTTGAGGTAAGGGCGAACTCAGAGTGAGGTAAGCGCAAGGTCAGAGAAAGGTAAGGGCGAACTCCGAGTGCAGTCAGCGTGTGGTAAGGGTGAGGTAGGTGCGAGGTCAGGGCGTGGTAAGGGTAAACTCAGAGTGACGTAAGGGGCGAGGTCAGGTTGAGGTAAGGGCGAACTCAGAGTGAGGTAAGCGCAAGGTCAGAGAAAGGTAAGGGCGAGGTCAGGGCGTGGTAAGGGCGAACTCAGAGTGCAGTCAGCGCGTGGTAAGGGTGAGATAGGTGCGAGGCCAGGGCGTGGTAAGGGCGAACTCAGAGTGTAGTCAGCGCGTGGTAAGGGTGAGGTAGGTGCGAGGTCAGGGCGTGGTAAGGGCAAACTCAGAGTGACGTACGGGGCGAGGTCAGGTTGAGGTAAGGGCGAACTCAGAGTGAGGTAAGCGCAAGGTCAGAGAAAGGTAAGGGCGAACTCCGAGTGCAGTCAGCGTGTGGTAAGGGTGAGGTAGGTGCGAGGTCAGGGCGTGGTAAGGGCAAACTCAGAGTGACGTAAGGGCGAGGTCAGGGTGAGGTAAGGGCGAACTCAGAGTGAGGTAAGGGTGAGGTAGGTGCGAGGTAAGTGTGAGGTCAGGGTGTGGTAAGGGTGAACTCAGAGTGAGGTAAGCGCAAGGTCAGAGAAAGGTAAGGGCAAACTCAGAGTGCAGTCAGCGCGTTGTAAGGGTGAGGTAGGTGCGAGGTCAGGGCGTGGTAAGGGCAAACTCAGAGTGACGTACGGGGCGAGGTCAGGTTGAGGTAAGGGCGAACTCAGAGTGAGGTAAGCGCAAGGTCAGAGAAAGGTAAGGGCGAACTCAGAGTGCAGTCAGCGCGTGGTAAGGGTGAGGTAGGTGCGAGGTCAGGGCGTGGTAAGGGCAAACTCAGAGTGACGTACGGGGCGAGGTCAGGGTGAGGTAAGGGGAAACTCAGAGTGAGATAAGGGGCGAGGTCAGGACATGGTAATGCAGGGCATGAAACACATGTCTGCAGTAGTTGTGTGCGGTACGTGTGTGCGGTACGTGTGTGCGGTACGTGTGTGCGGTACGTGTGTGCGGTACGTGTGTGCGGTACGTGTGTGCGGTACGTGTGTGCGGTGTGTATATCTGTGAATGCGTTTAGTCTGACTCAGTGTGGGAAGTTTGCGTTTCCGCGCCAACAGTCAGCAACTCTGTGAGGCCTTCATCTTTCCTGCAGCACATGAACAATGTTCTTCCAATCCTACATTGCCGTCTCATCTCATCTATCTTTCACAGATCTATACTTTTTTCCTGCATTGTTTTTTCTACCTCATCCGTCCTCCATTGCTTCTTCATCTCCCCGTCGTATTCCTGACTTTCTTTCTGCTGGACGCTTCATCATCATTACCTTTGTGTCCTTTCTGTAGATTCCCACAGTGACAGTCTACCAGCTGTTTGTTTTACCAGCTGTTTGTTTACCAGCTGTTTGTTTACCAGCTGTTTGTTTACCAGCTGTTTGTTTACATGTGGGCTATCCAAGGGACAGAATGAGCCGCATAGGAAGGCGGTCCTGGCCTGCTTTATATGATATGAAGTTATTTGGTGAGTGATGTGCTGCAGGTACTGACCCAAACCTTCTGTCAGACAGTTTCTAAACTTCTGATTCCACCTGAAATCAAAACCAGTTAAAGGTTTACAGGCTGTGAGATCAGGTAGGATCTAAAGTGGCTCCGAAAGGCCATGGCTCCTTTATTAACCACTGTCTGGAAAGCTTGGGGCCTTTCAAAAGCTAAGATTAAGGCTATGGTTTGCATTTGTAAGTGTTGACTGGCACAGACCGGTTTGGTTGTGGATCTGGAGACCTTGATCTCAGGGCCTAAACACATCGCTTCCGTCTGACTCTACAAGCTTTGATGTGTTTTTCTGCCGCACTAGTTCCATATACTGTCCTTCTACTAACCATCATAGTGGAGAGAAATAGTTTTCAGAGGAATATGTACCAGATCTTCCACCATAACAAATGGAGCCGTAAACCAAAATCTGTGGTTGCTGCTCTATGAAGCTTCAAGCTGTTTCATTTTATCTGTTGTTTGTACTCCTGGGCTCCTACAATGAGTGAGTTTACTGTTTATCAAATGTCTGACTTACCCTGAGATTCAGAGATTTTACTTTCCTGCCACTCTCTTCCTGGCAGACTCATGACATTCCTGTTAAAGTGGGTCGTAGGTTGAAAACGGTAGACTATGGTGGTCGGACCTTCTTGCGACTTCATACCATCTGTTTGTCCGTTGGATTGATGCTAAGTCTGGTCCGGTGCCTCTAAAGCTGGAGTCTCAAACTCCGTTTACCCGGGGCCTGCTGGAGGTAGAGTCTGGGTGAAGCATCGAAACATCGAGTTTTCCACAAGAGAAGCTCTTACAAAAACATTACAATGTTATCAAATGTCTTTATTTTTATTTTTTTTTTTACATTTCTTTGGAGTTGCGCAACAAAACAAGAAACCAATTAAATGTTTCTTGAAACAGTATTTAAGTTAATTAAGTTTAATTGACTTTAAATTTCAAATAAACTGGGCATGGTGCGCACCTGTGGCTCGTTAGGAGGCTCTGTGCTGATGCATTAATAAAGGGAGGGCTCTGTCAGCTGGACGCCACAGTGTGGTGCCTCAGTGGCTACAGTGCTGCACGGACTGCCTCGCTCCATCTGCACGCTCACCTGTCGCTCACCTGTCGCTCAGTCACCGGTTCCATCATAGAAGTGAGCTCTGCAGGATCCGTCGGTCTGAACCACTCCCCTCGGATCGTTCTCTGAGCTAACTGATCTTCCTCTTATCAGCTCTTCTCGGCCCTGCTCCTGCGTCTCTGTCAGCCGGTTCTCCGTTCATTGTTCCTAAATAAACATCTTAAACCGTTTTCTGCCTCCTGATTGTGATCTGCATGTGGGTCAAACATTTAAAAGCCATGGCATATGAAACATAGCTATTTCTATTATGAATGTTTAGTTGTTTGGGATAGCAGTTTAACCCTGTTTAAATGCAAATTTTTGTTTTTATTCACGACATTATTTGGGTCAGGGTTTTTTTTTCCACACCATTTTAGCCCATGATGGAATCACTGCAGCTTCGCGGCAGGACTTAAGTGAACAAAACTACTTCAGATTTTCGG